ACACTGACAGAAGCATACTAGAAAAGGAATAACATAGGCCGTAGGCCTTCTGTCCTTACCACACAAATCTGAATCTGAATCTGAAATGATATGAAAAAAGTGAGCACAGTGCTCGTTAAATTAAATATAATATCTGAGTATTAGTTGTTATTAAGTATTAACCTGGTTAATACTAGGATTAGAGACTATGAGTATATAATAAATTGCAGATCTATTTACGACTTAAGTCCGCAATCGGTACAATACAAACTGGTAATTGTCCGTCGAATAAAAATAAGTTTTTTCCTTATTTTTCGGGGTTAGATGTACCCGATGTACAGGATAGTATGATAATCACAGTATAATACACCCTACAAAAGTGCAAGTCGAAGAATTCCTAAACCACGTGAAGAAATGTTAGCACTTTCAAAGTTCGCGCAATATGTCCTTGAATTTGTGTCCGTGTAACTAAAGAGGAAGTCATTAAGGCTATGGAATCGAATGCCATGCTTTCGGAGGCATCGTTATACGTAGATCAGTATATACATATCCTTAGGAAACCTAGATCCCCAGTATAATAAAGGTGGGACTTTGTCGAAGAGACTACTATTACCGTGATGGCATATGTCAGTCAATTAAAGTAATGAATAAGTAATATAATTGATCGGACTAGTTTTTACGGGCTTGTAAATCACTAATTAGATTGAAGGATAGTTTGCGTTCGCATCACTAACCTAAATGAGCTAAACATTGAAAATAAAATGAAAAGGCATCACTGCGTAGGAATGAACAGATGTCTGTAGTGTATAGCATTTTGAATTTTTAAGTCTGTAATATAGTCTAAGTGGGCGCAAGTAGTTATTTAAAACCTACTTGCATTCTCATTTTAGCTACTTCTATGATTAAAACCTATAACTCCATGTCGGCTTCAATTTTCCGCTAACACATACTACCATAAACAAAGTTAGACTCCTAATCAACAAAAAAGCTGTTATTAGCTGGATAAGACATGGAAATAAAGAGTGTATCCAAAAAATTTATTTATTATTATTAGGCCTATTTTTGCCTTCATAGCTAACATTTATTTATTCCGCCTTCGTGTTATTAAATTAAAACTATTCGCTGTCGATAAAACCGCCGAATCGAGTCCATTTATTCGTCTGGAAGGAGAAAAAGTTGATGAAATTTGGACAATTTGTTCACCTTGGTTCGTTTTCTACTGTCACATGTGTGCCTTTATGTAGTGAATGGACTGTCATAATCTGAATTCCAATATTTGTTCTGGGCCAAGATGACCAAAAAAACGAGAGTTCATTGGATTTTATCAAACAACGTTCTTTCGTAAAATGTAACAAGTCCCTAAGAGTCATTTGAATTACACTATAATCAAATAAACGTTGTAGTTAACTTATTCGCTCCTAATGTAACAGAGAAACAAATCATGTCGAAAGCAAAAATACTTCAAACATTGTATCTTCATCCATACAGCACAAAATTACCCACTACGTAGCAAAAAATGGGATTAAGAAGTACGCGTGCTACCGCTGAAAGTCAGCAAACATATTTCTAACCACCTGAGACGAAACATCTGTCTTTAGGGATACAAAACAGCAAATAATCTGGCGCGAGGTTCTCTTTTTCAAGCACGAAGTTTTTCAACGTTTATTAATAATAATAATATATTCTCAGAAGGCAATATAAATAATTGTTGTGCCCGTTTGACATCCTCGGTAATATCCGGAGGATTTTTAATGTTATTGGTCAATTCAGCTGCCAGTTTTTTTTACATAGGCGATGTGATACTGCAAATGTTGCTTTATCATCTAGATAACACGGTTTCAGCTTATAAATACCGATTACATATGTGCTTACATGGTATTGCACAACGAAATGTTTCGGTGTTCTCGGGACTTTCATGAATGAACCTCTGAATTAAAGACTGAGTGGTACATTCAATTTTTCACGCCCTGTTCAGATGGGCATGCACTTGGCCATATCCTTGTATATATGTATAGCTTGCAACTGTCAGTATGAACTGGTATGGGGCTGATCTCTCTATCCCGTGTTTGATCCACATGATGTGATGAGTTAAGCCCGTCGCTTTTAATAAAATGAATAGTAATATATAGTTAAAACCATAGTAATGAGGTAAAGAGCCAATTATATATATATAAACATGGGTAAAACGTGCACCTGGCTGTGAGGAAACATACATAGGGGGGTTGTTGTTGTTACATCAAACACCCTCTAACTTATCTGTCTGCATCTTTTTGTAAGTTTGGTCACATATATCTGGCAGTGATTAGTTTGATAGTAGCATTTGCACCAATATGATGCAAAAAGAATAAAGGTTACTTATTATTAATTTTCTCAGACTTGGGGACGAAGAGTTGAGGCATCTCTTTGCTCATGTCGTAGTATATCAAACTTCCTTTAATTGGTGACGATAGCAGTCTTAGTTTGAGAATAGAGTTCTTTGCTGTAAGTTTTACAATTCTTGATACTCTTTCTGGTTGTGTCTCAACGTCCCAAAATCTGTTGTTGATTGCTGTGTTACGTTTATTTCTAGCCGAGATAGTGCATATGCAGTCTGGTTGTCTTGACTTTGATATGTCAGATATCACGAGTGAACTGGGATACATAGTCAAGTTGACAAACCTATTAAATAGAGTATTTGTCGTTTCTAGCCTCTAGTGCATTTGTTAATGGTTTATGATTCGTGTAAACTATGGATTCTCTGCCCTCCAAAATGTGTCGGTAATACTTAATGATTAGGTAGATTGAGTTCTCGTCCGAAAGTAGAATATCTCGTCTTTTCTGGAGTGAGTCTTTTCGAGAATCCGATCGATCTCCGGTTGTATATAACCATTCTATTCAGGATACCGACTACTGACTTATCTGAAGCATCCACCATCAAAGCATGTGGAGAATTGTATTTCGGACTCATCAACGTAGATGCTACAGCTTTGTTAGTGGTACATAGATTGTGTTGGTGCACGCTGATTGGCGCTAGTCCATACATGGAGAAGACTACAGAATCGTCTCATGTAAAAACTATAATCCTACTGACGTTTTTATCATTGTAATTCCTACTTCCATCTACTCTTGTTCTTTGGAATATAATTTCGTTCCTTTCCAACCGTGTTTTGATTTGAGGAATTGTTGAGTGAATTAGTATCCAAGAGTACTTGTAGAATTATGGTCTACTTCGATATCAGTACTGCTCTAATAAGACTTAATCCTAACATTATAGATTCGCAATGATGTAACCGTGTAATATAGAAGATCTTACGTGGAAGTCATATCACTGTTTACCCTGACTCATAGTAACACATTTAGACTGGGAATAGAACAATATATTCAATATAGATAAAAGGCCGTTACATATGTATGACCACGCTTGCAAGTCCGAGCCATGCCGTCCGATCAATTCGAACTAATTGAATTCATTCTTACCGCTTTCTCCACCAATGGGTTTCTCTTCGTGTTTAATGTTGAATATCTGTTTTTCCATTTGTCTCGTGTTTAGCTTTGAAGGTTGTGTGGTTAGGACTCAATGCCACTACGTGATCGGTAGTTCATTCATCCTTTAGCTGTTTAACAGCCTCAGAAGTCAGCTTCAATTTTTTTGATTTTCCTTTAAGGGAATTTGTCAATAGTTTCACTAATTGTACATAGCTGAGTATGAATCATGGATAAAAGTAAGTGAAACAGAAAACTTCTAACTTGCGTCAGAGAACTTGGTATGAGGTATTGCTTAATGTTGTTCAACTTTTCTTTGATTAGTATAGTCTCTTCTGGGTTTACTGTATGTCCGAGGAATTCTAGAGTTTGAACACCGAACACACACTTTAACGTATGTTCATCCCATTTTCATCTAGCTGTTTTAACACTGCTCTCACGTGCTATCCATGTGACTGTAAATCAGGATTGAAAATTAACAAGTCGATTATAATCTCCGGTGCAAAAGGCAAACCACGAAGTAGGTTGTTCTTAAATCATTTAAATATTTGTGCTATATTCCTCTGTCCAAATAGCATACGTAGAAACTCAAACAATCCGTAGAAAGTAGCAATAACCGTCATGGGTATACTTTCCTCAGCTACTGCAAAGTCATGTTATGCTCTGACTAAGTCATTTTTAACAAGTATGCTCATACCCAGTAGGTCATTTGGATATAAGGCATTGGGTATCTAACTCTTACGGTTTGACGGTTGGTGAATCTGAAATCTCACACGGTCGCCAATCGCCTTCGTTTTTCTTTGGGACTATATGCAAAATGGATTCCCTCTGACTGTCAGAGGGACTGATAACACCCAGCTGTAGCATGTAGTAAGATTAAATTCTAGCTATTTTAAGCTTATCTGGTGCCAGTCTTCTGGGTCTGGCAGACACATATGCACTTTCGGTTGTTTACTTTTAGAAGACTGAAGATCCGGTTTGGTTAGGTTTAAAAAATTTTGCGAGTGTATCCTAAGATTTTTCCGTCGTTACTGACGGATTTTTTTTACCAAATTTAGAGATGTGATTTGTCTTCCTTTGTCGTTTGTGTAATTTTAAGTTTCCTTCGGTGTCAAACGTCGCGTTTTAGTGTCGACTGGATATTCATATCACATTAAAAAGTCCATTCCCAGTATTGCCAGATCTACAGTAAGCAGTAAGCAACCAGTGGAATCGTTTCCTAAATCCTATGTCTATCGACAGCGTTATCCACCCGAACGTCACGACTTTAGTCTTGTTGGCAGCTTGAGGTGTAACCGGGGAAATGTTTCGACCCAGGTCAGTTTTACTCTAAGGAACGATACTAAACTTTGCACCGGTATCCATCGAAATGTTCAAGTATGGATTTCTGTTTCTAGCACAAGACAAACATATGTTCAGGCACCTGTTCTCAATCGTCGAGATCAGCTGGGAGGGTATAATTCGTTCTCCATATTCTTGACAGTTCATTTAAGCAAGGCACATATCTGAATGATTCTGATTGATTGGACAGAAAAGTTACAGTAATATCAATTAAAGTGTTCGGTACTATCGGGTTGCGAGGGACTTCTGGAAACCGTATCTTATTGGCGCTATTTGGGCAAGTATTGCGCTGTGGCCAGCCTACTCTTTCTATTATCAGACTTTAATCAGCCTAGATAGCAAGATGAACAAGCTATTGCAATCTATTTCTGACAAGTTGAAACATTTGGAATCAATTGCAACACCAGATGCAGTAAACTATGTTGAAGCATGCCTCAAAGTACAGAATAAACAGTTGCTGCACAGAATAAAGTCGTTAAAAGAATCAGTTATTCAGCAGGAGCTACTTCTTGGATTAAATCAACAACAACTTCATCATGTACCCTCTGTTAAGGCTGTATCCAATGGTTCTAATTTGAATAGAAATTCACTGGAAATCGGACATTTGTCCGATAAAGGATTAGTGCCGGAAGAGCAACCCAAACAGAGGACAGAGGTACAAACGGACTCGGTGAAAACTAAAAATCGGAATACCGAACGTAAAATACCAGATGGAAAACCACAATGTGCTGAAAAGCCTGTTGATATTGGTCGTCTGGATCTGCGTGTCGGTCGAATTATAGATGTAAATCGCCATCCTGATGCTGACTCTTTATACGTAGAGAAAGTTGACTTGGGTGGAAATGAAATACGCACTGTTGTCAGTGGGTTGGTGAAATATCTACCTATCGAGTCACTACAAAACCGAGTCGGGATATTGCTCTGCAATCTCAAGCCAGCAAAAATGCGTGGTGTTGAATCGGAAGCAATGCTAATGTGTGCAAGCTCTCCAGATACATGTGGAGTAGATCCTCTGATTGTTGAGGGCCCAGATATACAGTTAGGTGATTCAGTTGTGGTTCCTGGATATAATCACGATCCTGATGACCAACCTAATCCCAAAAAGAAAATTTTTGAACAAGTGAAACCAGATCTTAGAGTAAATGAAAACGGGATCGCTATGTATAAAAATGTTTCATGGACACTAAAAGGGTCTTCTCTTGCTGTGATTAAATCACTCAGGGTCAAAGACGCTCAAATAGCTTAGTTGCTAACTATACCCTTTTTAAATATGCTAATTGTCCAGATTGTCTGGACAGTTGTGACCTCAGTGATGATCTGCCACAGGTTCTACGATCTGTATACATTTTAGCTGCAGTCCCTGTGAAATTTTAACACTTGCAATGTATTCTGCTATGATTGGATCTTTTAATGATTCTTATTTTTGTGTATGATGAAGCGTATGTGATCCAGTTGGGGGATCTCTTTCGATTATTCCACTTGCAAGACGTGCTAAAAAAGATCAAGATGTGCCGGATTTTGACCATCCAAACAGTTATGAGTGTAGAATGGTGAAGCTTGTATCATTCTTGTTTTAGGATTGATCCTTTCGCTCAGACTTGAAGGCGACGTAACAACTGTGGTAACATAGAACTTATCGTTTTACCTTGGTAAAGCCATTGTGTCCTTTTTCCATCTGATAAAGATGGACGGTTAATCATCTCTCATATTAAAATGATGTGTGGTTGTAATGTTTGTGAACCCAAAATTAAGTCACGAACTTATCTGGCGACTGAAGGAGATAGGACAAAGCATAAATCTCTGCACCAAAATCTCTCAGATTTATTGTTATGTCTCATGAAATAATGATTTAGTTGAGCAAACCGCAACTAATGGCCAGTAAGATCAACTTCTGGGAGTCGTACTTTCATGGCCGTAACAGTGTTTATTTCTGCTGTTGAGAAATTACATTTTTCCTTCAGGCTTTCGGTTTGTATTGAATCTAAAATTTGTTACATGACCAATATATTACTATAATATGAACGGGGTATAACAATGACTTCAGCACGAATGCTTTGTGACGAAGAAACAATGTATAAAACATAGGTGTACGAAATTAACGTTTAAAACAACCAGAAGTTTTACTTTAACGACTAAGCAAACAAAATATTAAGCTAAATTGAAATTAATTTTTAAGTTCAATATAGGGCTCCCCAGTTTTATGCCTGTGGATGCCCTTCGTTTTATTGATAGAGAAAACCAAACTAGTAGTGAATAGATCCTCATTAATATCGTGGATGGCATACAATCAACATTTAATACAATATGATAAGAAATATAGTGCATATACAAAAGGAGTGAATGATAACTTGAACTATAATATTTCGACATTACTAAGATGTTCGCGACCAACTCCTTACCAATCAGCTTATGTTGTTACAGATCTTGCTTCCCTGATTTATTCCATATACCACTTAGCTCACAGTTATAACAAAAGGTTCAAAAATGGTTTGCTAGAGTTGTTTTTATTTAAACTTGACCTGATAACCAATGCACATTTAATGACGACACTAATCCGATATTTTCCAATTTACCATTCGAAGCCCATAAGCAAATACTTAGTCCTAATGCGACAGCTCTTAAAAACACTGTCAAGATTGAAAAGTCTATGCCACGTAAGAAAAATGTATGTACAGAACCTGGTTCTAGACCCAATAACAAGAACATTACGAAGGCCCTACCAAATAAAATAAGATTATACTTCCCAACACCATGCTTTACCCTACGCAGGGGAGGTTATAAGGGCAGGCTTCATTCAAATGTCCCACAAGACGACCATTGCAATCATTATGTGAGCCGGCCTAATATTGGACAGACCACAGTGAACCGACGTGTCCCACGGTCACCCTCAAATGTTTTAAATAATAAACCTGTAAGACGTAACTTTTCTCAATTTTTTCCCATTGGACAAGATGGATTACTAGGTTACTCACCACCAACCCAACCCCATCTGGCAGGTGCTTTTCTTAACTGTTCGCCTAGTCAAGTTCAACAAATTAATCCACTTTATCAAAATAATTATTTTTTGGCCTTCGAAAATTCCTGGTCCCACTTGCACTACAGTTTGTTCAAGCGATAGCCCATATGGTCAGTCAAACATAATAAACCATAGTCTATGTAAATCGGAAATTCACAACATCATTAGGGAAGCTATCGGTTTTTTTACATTCCATACTCTCTTTTTAAGCTTATTACTTATCAATGCACATTCACTTCTGAACAAAATTTCAGCGTTGAGAACATTAGTTTTTCTAACCAAGCCTTCTTTCATACTTGACACTGAAACATGATGCTCTCAAGCAGTGTCTGGTTGAGAATTAAATGTCCAGGACTATCGACTCTCGCTGTGTCAGAGGAACTAAACGAGGAGGTGGTTGCATTATATTTGCTTCGGATAACATAACAACCAATAAAGTTGAAGATAGTGTCCTGAATAGTTTACCAGAATCAGTCTGGATATAAGTCAACACCCTAAATCATAGTCTACTCCTTGGATTTATATACAGAGCTCCTGATAGTTCGAATAATGGGGATGATCTTATTATCAATGCATTCATACATGCATCTGTTATCACTGGAGATTTCAATCACCCTGGGATTAACTGGAGTACCGTTAGTTGTCAGTTATGTGATGATGAGTTCTCGGCATCCATTAACAAGCACTGCTGGTCACGGTGGGTTCGTACCCCAACTAGAGGTGTTAGTATACTCGATCTAATATTTAGTAGAGATGTTATCCCACTATCTGTAAAAGTTTACGATGAATTTGAAAGCAGCGACTATAAGATAGTAGTTTGTGCTCTCCCTGTCTATCCCTCTTATAACCGACCCATTCAAAAAACCAGTCAATATAGAGACTAGAAGCATGCTGACTGGGACCTCCTGCATTCATTGATTAAACTTTCAGGCTGGGATAACTTTTTTCATGTAATATTCTCATGGATGCTATCGACGAATTCTATCTGATCGTTAACTCTTGTTTAGATTCCTCTGTCATTTCGACTTCTTTAATTTAGTCTATTCTCTACGTAGCCAAGGATATCTAGTCTTAGTGCTATATCTGGACATTTCTAAAGCCTTTGACATGGTTAGCCACCGACTTCTTATAGGTAAGCTCGCATCTTATGGGGTTCAAAATCCTTTGCTTTCTTGGCTTGATTCCTTTCTCAGTAATCGATATCAAATAGTTAAAATTAACTCTTCATTGTCTAACGCTGTCCCTGTTAGAAGTGGTGTAATACAAGGTTGTGTCTTAGACCCTTTGCTCTTTTTAGTGTTTATCAATTATATTTGTGAAAGTTTTTGTGTGGGTAAGCCCCTTCTATATGCGGATTATCTGAAATCAGTTTATTCATGTTCTTCACATGAGCTGAAAAATATGCAAAACTGCATTAGCATGGAGCTTAACAAGGTAGCACAGTGGTGCTTAAAATGGCAACTGGAGCTTATACGGCTAAATGTGGATGGATATGCTTCGGTGATACATCACTCAACCTAGACATTACCATAAATGGAGAAGTGTTATCTAGGTTACATACAGTAGTAGACTTAGGACTTAGATACTCCTAAGACTTATCGTTTACAAAACAGATATTAAAACAGACCTCGAAGTCTCAACGTCTAATAGGTTACATAACTCGAAACCTTTACAACAATGAGTCACGTATTCTAGTGTACAAAGTTTGTGCTCGACCTCTTCTAGAATATTGCATACCAGATAATATCAAGATAAGGGCTGACAGGCGTATTGAACTCGATGATGGACATTGAGCAGGTAGCTTTTCCTAACAACGATAACACTTGGGTTATCCAGTCAGCGGTTTATAAAAACTCGAGGTTAGTTGGGAGTTCTCGTTTTTTTTTTACACTTACTATTCTATCATGTCTGTTCAAAAATTTTTAGTAGTATTAGTGTTCTAAGGTTGTCCAATTTACAAAAATCTATCGACGTTATCGAAAACGTTTGCAAGTGCTTTCTTCGGTTATATCTGTTTGCTCATAATGTATGTAATTAAATTAAGTTTGTTTGAAAAGTTTTTGAACTTTGATCAGATACATGGGCTTTGGCTTTCTCGGTAATGCCCGTGGACTGTATCGCGGCCGCAAAATAATGCTTCAGCATATACCTAATACTTCTCAATCCCCATATATAGGGCGACTTTTGTCCGTTTTGGGTAAACTTCTGGAGAAAACACAATTGAAAACTCTAGGGAATTGGCAAAAAACCTCAAGCTTCTTGGAAAACCCACGAAATTTTTGGGGAAAATTTTTCGTTTTTCTCCAATATTTCCACAGAATCTTATAACACTTTGGGGTTTTTCCCGAAAATTTCCCAATATTGGCGAAAACCATAAAATTCCTCAAAGGTTCTCTAAAATAGGGAGATCAAGTTTGATTAACATCTTTTAAAGCTAATCTCTCAGTCTATAATTCGAAAAATTTTGTTACGTAATGTTTTTGTCCTTCAATCTTCTCCCAGTTCATATTCATAAATTTAATACCACGTGTGATTGCTTCGTGAAATAATAGTGGTTTCACAGCCTCTCGCTAATTTAAATTTTGGATAGCATAGTTCTGACTGAATCAGAACTGCACGTCATGAACGTCTTTAGCTTCTCAGCCAAGATGTCTGTAAATGTTATATATTGAATGTCTGTATATCACTGTGACCCTGACTCTAAAAGTGTATAGCTAAGTAACCTAACTTAGAGTACACAGCGTAAGTAGTCTTTCGTACGGCTGTTGTTATTGAAGGAACCACTGGCAAAGCACTTTCCCAACAACGTCTCAACCATCATCACCTTTGCTTCCGAAGCACAATACGTAAATTTTCAACTGTTACAACTCAAATGTGTATCTTTGTGGATTGTAGTGGTGGTGCTGTTTTACGTGATCACAACCTACGCTTATGGGCTGCACTAGCCATAAAAACGCGGTTTGGAAAAAGGAAATAAACCAGTAGATAGCGCTGTTCCGAGAAGTTATGGAGTTATATTTTGAACCAAGGAGGAAGTGCAGACCTGTGAATTTTTCCCAAAATGATCATGACCTCATGACTATACTCAGTGTGTTTTCTGCCACGTAAAACGGTATTTTGTCAGTTATGTCCTCTGCGCAACTAAACACCGGTAACCACTGAATATAGATACCTTATAGTTGGGACCAGTTAGTTTTAGTCCATTCATTTCGCAAAATGTCGCACTTAATGAATACCTAACTATGATTTTTTAAAAGTGAAATTTCATGAGAGCTGGTATGTATTCAAGTTATACTCTGTATGCTCCTTAATAACACTGGGATTTATCATAACTACATGGGTTCGTTTAAAGTGTAGAGTTCCTGGACATGGTAACAAATTTCATGTGTACCAGATTTGTTATTCCAAATAATCATCATTAAGCTTTTCTGTTATGACCCCAAATAATGGGTGCGGTCCTGCATTTTTACAACTTACTGTTTATGCGGAGTATTTACAGTAGTCGCGAATTTGTTTAATTTATTATTTCTCCCGACTTAATTTAGTAACTGGTTAGTATGCCAGCTCTTGAAGCAAGAGTGTGAATTAGTTCTAAATGGGAATTTATTTAGTGACATGTACCGTTTGGGGTTTACGACTAACTGTCTTGTTTCATACACCAGTAGGGCGTTTAGTTTACAATTCAGTTACCTTTGTCAAAGCTGGTGAAGTTTTTGTTCGTAGAATTCTAGTGACTGTCCTGCAGTTTATAACACATGATAGTTGGAGCTTTTTAAATATCGGCTGCTAACAAATTGTGCAAGTATTAAATGAAGTATTAGGATAAACTGTGATCATGAACATAGGATAGCTTAAGCTATAGTTTTTGGGATTGTTACTGTTTGTAACTCCTATGTTTCAGAATTTTTCTTTTTATTAATCTCACCATAGCTAGGTTAACTAGATCGACTAAGGAAATGAAGTCTTCGTTCTCAATTTACATAGAGTGGTTTCAAAGTCTATCATCGAAGTGCTTCATAATAAATTGACACAATTGATTGTGTTGTCACATTAAATAAATATTTGTTTATTGATGGTGCAAGTAGTTAGGCATCATTTTTATAAATTTAAGTTTGTCTCTAGTTTTTCAACCAGATAGGTTTCCAACTTCATCTATCTACGCAGAGTTTCTCCTTACAATTTTGCATTTGCCTTTATTTGGCTCTTTTTGAACTAATTGTATGTTTTCAGACTCCGTTCTTCATATATTTTGTCAGCCAGTGATGATATAACTTATTTATCAAGTGCGAATTCATGTACTTGGCTTCAAGCTACACTTAATGTGAATGCTGGTAAGGCTACCTGGCTCCCAAAACTGAAGCAGATGGTATTAGAACCTAGTTGTTGCACTTCGGACATATAAATCATTAAACCACAAATTTAAATAATGTAATATACTAAGTTCATTTGTACTACGTCACAACGGTGAATATTATGTGATCTTATGCACTATCGTATAATTTCATCGAATTTCTGATTCTTGTAGTTGTCTGTTGCTAAATGACCAAGTAAGTAAAATCTGATTGTTCTGTTTATGAATGACATCGTAATACATTCTGTATTTCAGGCAATTTTTATACCCATTACTATATTTTTGTGGGATATCTAAATCAATGCTTCTTTGTTCAGGCGGCATTGGATTGCATCTGTTACCGATCCTCGTGTGTGTTCTCACCTTTGTTGCAGTCACGACTTGGTAGGTGGTTTAGAATTCTCCATTGTATTTTGTTTTCCACGTTATAGTCAATTTTGACTTATCATTTTATCTTTATCAGAAAATAACTGTGAAGCAAAGCATTCAGTAAAAGAGTGCTCAATCTGAGAGTTGAGTTAATTCGCAACTCAATTTACTGTCATCTATTAGAGATTTGAATAATGATGTTAAAAAAATAATTATCAATATGTGTTTTCAAACGTAATTTGTATGAAGGATTCTCTCAGATAATTGTTGTACTCCTTTAGGTCGAAGGCTCCGGGTGTGGCCCCTTAGGAAAACAACCCGCTTCGGTTTAAGCACCCGGGCAGTATTCCAGCCCTCACACAAATCGAATGTGGCGCATATCTATTTGGTGCCTCCTTGTACCAATTTTTATGTGTTTAAATAAATAAATAGATGCATACATAAATAAATAAGAACAACACATATAAGCGAACAATTGCTTTCAATTAGATCATCATCAGGCTTTACTCTAATATACATGAATATTTATACGAAAATGTTAAACCAATCAAGGCAATATGGGTCAATAATCACAATGAAATAGAATAAGTCACCACACATAATAGGTAAAATTCATGTTGATAGTAGGAAGACAGGTGTACTGATAGTAGTAAGAATAATAAAATACGATAACAAAAGTCTTATCAACAATTAAACGTTGGAAATAGAAGGTCAAACGTGGGTAAATAGACTTGGAACTATTGATAAGACTTTTGTTATCGTATTTTATTATTCTTACTACTATCAGTACACCTGTCTTCCTACTATCAACATGAGTTTTACCTATTATGTGTGGTGACTTATTCTATTTCATTGTGATTATTGACCCATATTGCCTTGATTGGTTTAACATTTTCGTATAAATATTCATGTATATTAGAGTAAAGCCTGATGATGATCTAATTGAAAGCAATTGTTCGCTTATATATGTTGTTCTAATTTTCACAATAGGAATCTTTAATATTCATAAATAAATAATATATTTGTAATATCCCAATGAGTAGAAAAATAGGATTTCCTGACGTTTCGTGACTTAGTGTAAGCCACTTCTTCAGAGAATAAATAACCAAATCATGTTTTATAAATTTATCATCGTATGCAGATATCTGGCCAACTATCGTTATTTGTGACACTCAGCAGAAATGTAGACAATTTTAACTATCTAATTCGGTAACAACAAATATATATATATATATATATATATATATATATACTGATTGCTCATCCAGTATGTTGTATCCACTACTTATTAATTCACACGATTTTTTTGTAGTTATTTCCTCTCTCTTACACAAGACCACATATCACCGTATTTTCCGTACATCAGGTAAGTATTTATTATGAAATCTGAGAGATTTAATTAGTTATTTAAACATATACCTGATTCATACTAAGCTAAAAGTTGAACGTATGAAAGCATAAGTGAAGATTAACATGCTGAACTTTAAAACTTCAGTGTCAAACTCACTTGCTGACCTAAACGTAAATAAGTTTTTCCCTTTTTTTGTATTGTGGGTGATAAACACTCGGCTGTCGGAAACTGAAAAAAGCATCTATCTAACCTTTCAGGTGATATCATTCATTAATGTAGACATTTAGTTAGAGATAAGCTGTTCAACTTGTACTAATTTTATTCGTCAAGTGAAATACACTAGTCTTTTATCAAATGATGTTTTTTAAAGAGTCAAAATAATTAGCACTGATTATTTTCGTCTTTTCTTTATGGCGTTATGGATATACTATTGTTGATTTTTTTATTTTTTTAAATATATTTAATTGCATAAACATTGGTACAATGGAGCACAATAAAAATAAGATTGTGGAGAGATAGTGAAAAGGCGAGTGTAGTATAAAGAGAGAACAGAATGGGCAGGAATTAGTGTACGAAATAATGATAATAGAAGCAATTCATTTAGGAAAAACAAAATCAGAAAGTAATCTTTCGGTGTAAGAAATTCTCCCACTTTTATGAAAAAAGTAAAATAAAGTTACAACAGGATCGCCACTGGCTTCTACTGTAAGCCATGTCTGGCAACTTTGATTTACCTCTCGGACTCCAACCACGTCGCCGTGAAGGTCCGACGGAAGCCACTCCTGTGGAGCTTTTTGTCATACCACGAAACCATGTCATATACTGACCACCCCCACTTAAACAACCAGTTCCAGCGTCGGCAAATAATGCCTTAGAACATTCCCAAGCCATTGAATCTGATGTTTTAAGACAGTGACACCGATTGAATGATCGTCACTGTCCCCGAACCTCCTGATTATTAACATGTTGCCTGTGTATATCAACAATCCTTCAGAAAACGTGATGATACAACAAAGTCGCTTAACATCCCCAACTTGGAAAGGCCAGGTTTCACAAGCATACAGTAAAATGGCTCTTACTGACGAGTCGTAGATCCGACCTTTTACAGGTAGACCAACATCATGAAGACACCAAAGTTGAGAAGGAGTAGTGAGATTGGGCAACCCTGTCTAACTCCACTGGTTGAATGGAACAATGGAGAGCGGTGATTGTATTCCCTCACTCTATCTGAGGTGCTATTATATATGGCTTTTGAGATGTTAATAAATTTCTCAGGCACACCTTTCTTCAACAGACGATCTCATAGAATAGTTCTTTCCAACGAAGCGAAGGTGTTCCTGATACCAAGAACCACTGCGATTATGGACCTGCAATAAGTATGGTGGTGTTCTAACACATGGCTTAGGGTGAAGATATGATCAATACATCTTTGACTAGAATGAAATCCAGCCTTCTCCTCGCGAGTCACTCTTTCCCGGGTCTTGAACAGTCTATACATATAAGTATAATTGTATACGAACATTCGTCAAGATTAAAATGAATAGTTTGTATTTTAAACCAAAGTTCATGATATGTTGAAGTGGTCTATATACATGTGGTATATTCAGTCAGTCAGTCAGTAAAAACGTAGAACTTCGTACGTACGTACATCAGTTCGAGTTGCCATACCACATTCGCACAGAAATGCAGTTGTCGATTTAAATCCCGTAGTGGTAGAGGTAGTTAGAGTATGAGCAGTAATCGGAAAGATTAGGGTTTGCAGATGTTATTCAAGGAGCATAATCCAGTGAAATAAATTTGGAAAGAGGAAAAAAAGGACATGGAGAATTCACAAGATTAGAATCTGGGAGAACACAAAGAGTGGATGCACCTGTGTTATTGCAAACGATTTTGAGCCATGTCATTCAGGGTCTCTCACCATCGGTTGCTATCATCTCGTGGTCCCCAACCAGGTAGTCTACACCTACCAACATGACTCAGTCCACTTGTCAGTGACTTCATGGACTTGTGCCATGTTTTGGTTTGGCCGCCCCTAGCTTTCTTCCAACCCACTCCTATACCACTGAACATAGCACGTCGAGGCAGTCGGTGGTTGGGCATACGCAACACGTGTCCCAGCCATCTCAACTGATGAAGTTTCACTACGTCATCAATTGATTTGCCATCCTCACCTAGTACCCGTTTCCTAACAACTACATTACTTACTCGATGGTCCCAGGATATGCGAGCAATATTTCGAAGACACCTATGATCAAATACTAGTAACCTACGGATACCCTCTACTCTTACCGGCCATGTTTCACTGCCATAAAGTAGGACGGAACGAACTGCTGCTCAGTAAACACGTCCTTTGGTTGATAGACGGATATCTCACCTACGCCATAAATGACGCAAGTTGGCAAAAGCTAGTCGAGCCTTCTGTATCCGTGCTGAGATTTCGTCACACACCAGACCACAAGGGCTGATGAGACTTCCAAGATAAGTGAAGCGATCGACACGCTCAGTTACTTCACTCCCTATCATTAGTTCGGGTGTCAATGCAACCCAATCCTGAAGCAACATTTTGCATTTCGAGGGAGAGAATCGCATGCCGAACATGCTTGCATTGTTGCTTAGAGTGGTCAGAAGACTACATTTTGTCAGCGTCTTCACCAAATAGAACTATATCATCGGCATATTTTGGGTCAACAAGTAGGTCTCCCGGTAGAAGTTCAATCCCCGGAAATCTAGACAAGGAAAGTGTTATCTCTGAAAGTTCGTCAACGACAAAGTTGGACAAGAATGGAGAGAATGGACAGCCCTGACGAACACCACTTGAGGTAGTCAATTCTGATGACGGTTCGCCATAAGCTATCACTCTACCAGTTGTGTTCGAGTAGAGAGCCTTTACAAGGTTAATGTACTTCTTTGGTACACCTTTCAGTGACAAAAACTGCCATAGAACCTTACGATCAACCGAGTCCAATGCCGCCTTAAGGTCGAGAAATACTACCATTGTGGGGCGTCTGAATGTGTGCCTGTGTTTTAGAACCTGACATAGTGTGAATATCTGATCTATACAACCACGTCCAGGCCGAAAACCAGCCTGATTTTCTCTAGTCTGTTCTTCACGAGCTTTGGTTAGGCGTCGAAGTATTATTGAAGCTAACATTTTAGACACTATATTTGTCAAACTGATTCCTCTGTGATTGTCACAAGAGGACTTTTGTCTTTTTTGCAGACTGGCACAATCAGTGATTGAGACCAGTCAGATGGGATTACGTCCAGTTCCCAAATTCTACCTAAGCCCTCAGTTAATCTCACTGCTAATACTGAACCACCATCCTTAAAAATCTCAGGAGGGAACCTGTCAGGGCCTGTTACTCTCCCTCGCTTCAGATTTCCTATGACTTTTTCAACTTCATAGAGTCGGAGGACCTACATTAACTTGCCATTCAGGTTGACTGGAGATCGTGGGAAACCGAAGTGTGGTTGGAGGCCAGTTGAACTGATCCCTAAAGTGTTCTGCCCATCGATCCAATCTCCTGGATTGAGAATGTATAATATGTCCATCTTTCTCTGAGATTGTTTCGCTAACGGTCGGGTTCCTAATACCGGTTTCCTTAACAAGTCTGAACAATTATCTGCTATTACCTATTGCCGCTGCCTTTTCCATCTCTCTTGCTTTCGCTACCCACCACTGTTCACGATCATTGCGTAGACTTCTTGTCAGCTTGTGCTTAAGCTGACTCCGCTCTTCGTTATGTTCAGAGCCAGATGGGATGAGTTTTCGAGCATCTATCAGTGCGGTAGATGCTGCTGAGATCCAGTGTTGCTCCCTAACCTTCTGGTTTACCTTATTAGCAGATATCACTGCTGTTTCCACAGCTATTCGGATATCATTCCATCACATATATGGCTGCCTAACTGTTTTTCTAGTTGTTCCTGAAATATACTCTTAGTTTGACTATCATTAAGTAGGACCCTAAGAGGTTTCCTTGCTGCGTCTTTCCTATGTCCAGTAAGACGCAGGCAAATACACGCTCGCACTAGAGCATGATCTGAATCTAAGCATGTGCTCCAGAATGAGTGACAGTCTTCTATCGAGCCCCTCCATCGGTGGCTGATAGCGATGTGATCTATTTGGGTCCAACGTTGGGACGAATTAGGGGGTCGCCATGTTAAAAGATGTTTTTCCTTATGCTTAAAGTTAGTATTTGCAAGGAACAGGCGGTTATCTGAGCATAGCTGCAACAGACGGTAGCCATTATCTGTTCTCTGAGCCACGACACTTTAAGATCCACCCAGATGTCTTTCCCTCTCACTTAGTTTACCTACTTGAGCATTAAAGTCACCAGCCACTATTACTACATCAGAGCGCCTAGCTCTTTGGAAAAGGTCAGAGAGCTTTCTGTGAAACTCATCTTTTACATCATCTGAGCTGCAGTCAGTGGGAGAATAGGCAGAGACGACAAAGAGGCAACGACGAGTGTCCCTATCTTTCCGACTCCTTACTGTTCCGTTTAGTCGGACAGCGCACAAACGACTGTCTACTGGGATCCACTCTAAGAGAGCTAGTTCTGCCATAGGACTCAATGCTATACCTACGCTGGCGAGGCCACGAGAAGCAGCATCAGGGCTTCCAGATATACGAAGCGTGAATCGTGTTGGTTCTTTATTTTGATATGCTGAGGTCACGTGAATGACGCTACTCGGATCCTGTATGCGCGTTCCGGAGACGCAGCACACACCGATGACGCGAGATTCTAAAGTTCTAGCTAAGGAAGCCTGTCGTCCTATTTGGCACAGTGTTCGGACGTTGAAAGCTCCTACATGTAGTTTAGAGCGTGGTTTCAGGAGAGCAGGAATAGCGTTCCACGTACTCGAACCGTTTGCCCTAGCGGTGCGAGATGATAAAGAGGCGTGAGGAAGGTTAGTCATGGAGATAAGAGAGGTATTAGGAGGTGTAGGAAGGATTTGAATGTGACCAACTTGGTCTCGTGTGCTGTCACGGGTATGAGGGCTGGTGTCACTTCCCGGCTGCTCACACCGTGGAAGGGTATTTCTTGAGGAACCTGAAAAGAAAGATGGATTAATGTCGGCCTTAACGGCCTGGGAACGTGACTGCCGAGCCCAGGGGACAACTGCTTGAGGCCGGTCGCACACGGCCTTTTTGTGGGAGGTTTTTGACGCGTTAGCTCCGTTCTTCAAAGGGCCTTACCGCCGGAGACGGAAATCCGTGAGGTGTGACATTTTTAGGGTCGACCTTTTCTAACCCCACCCCTCCTTGTAGGAAGGCAGCATCGCTGTCATGCTGGTTGTCCGAGGGAAACACCTTGCTGCTGTCACACCTCTCTACAGTCAGCAGTACGACTTCGCCCTCAAATCTTGAGTTGCTGCTTTTAGTCTTACCGTTCTCCTATCGACCTGCCTGGCATGGTAGAACCTACAGGAACATATGTTCCAACCAATACAGCTCGGTTGGGTCATCACGATAGGCAAGCCCGACCACCGCGTCAAGGTAGCAGCTACGACCGGGATGTGGTATATCCAATATTATATGACTGAAAATTATGTCCGCCGTTAAGATTGTGCAATGAATATCATTCTTGCCGCGCTTAAGTGCGATGGCGTAATGGTTAAAGTAATCAAGACCCTTCTTCATTTACATGTGTCTGTGCAATCAGATAGTATCACTAATCCCCACACAAATGTGTGACCCACTGCTGAGTGCATAAACTTGTGCATGGTAAATGAGTCACGTTATTTATTTATTTATTTGAACACATATATATTGGTACAGGAATGCGCCAAATATATATGCGCCACACAAAACAATGAGCATTTAAGAAGAAAAAAAAGTGAGGAACGTAAAATAATAATAATAATAATAATAATGAAGAGATTGGTGTTAGGTAGTGTAATAATAAAAGTAATAGTAGGGGAACAGAAGGGTACAATTAGAAGAAATCTCTCAGTTAAGGAAGATACAATCACGTTTTATGAAGAAAGTAAAAGAAGGTTACAGCAGGATCGCCACTGGCTTCTATTCTGAGCCATATCTGATAACGTCTCTAGCCACTGTGTCGCATCATCTCTCGGACCCCAACCAGGGAGTCGTGAAGGACCGACAAAAGCCAGCCCTTTGCAGCTTTCTTTCATACCACGACACCATGTCATATACTGACCACCTCCGCTTTTTCCAACCAGTCCCAGAGTCGGCAAATAATGCACGACATGGAATTCTCTGGAACGACATTCGTAGAACATGTCCAAGCCACCGAAGTCTGTGTTTCAAGATGGTGACACCAATTGCATTATCGTCTCTGTGCCCGAACACACGATGCCGAACCTCTGAATTACTAACATGGTGTTGCCACTGGATGTCAGCAATCCTTCGGAGACAACGATGATCGAACACAGAAAGTCGTCTAACGTTCTCAACTTGGAGTGGCCAGGTTTCACAAGCATAGAGCAAAACTGCTCTCACCGATGCGTTGTAAATCCGATCTTTTACGGCCAGACTAACATCACGAAGGCGCCAAAGATGGCCCAGATTAGCATAAGCCGCTCTGGCTTTCACTATACGTGCATTGATCTCATCACTCACACCCCCATCAGCACTTATGCAGCTACCCAGATACACGAACTTCTCGACTACTTCTATCTGCTCACCATCCAGGGTGAGTACAGGATTAGAATCCTGCCAGTCTTGTAGAAGTACTTTGCACTTCGAAGGTGCAAAGCACATACCGTACCTACGGGCACTGATTGTCAACTGATTAAGCGCGAATTGCATGTCTTGGGGATTATCGCACAGTAAGACAATATCGTCCGCATACTCAAGGTCGAGAAGTCTTTCTCCAGACAACAGATCCACACCGCCATTACTTACATCCATCAGAGCTGTTTCCAGAATGTCGTCGATGGCAAAGTTGAAGAGGAATGGTGAGATTTGGCAACCCTGCCTAACCCCACTGCTCGAATAGAACAATGGAGAGAGGTGGTTGTATGCCCTCACTCTGCCTGAGGTGTTTGTATATAGGGCTTTTAGGATGTTAATAAACTTCTCAGGCACACCCTTCTTCAATAGACAATCCCAGAGAACAGTCCTGTCCAACGAATCGAAGGCAGCCCTGATGTCAAGAAACACTACGGTTGTTGGCCTTTGAAAAGTGTGACGGTGTTCTAACATTTGTCGGAGGGTGAAGACATGATCAATTCATCCTTGGCCGGAACGAAAACCAGCTTACTCCTCGCGAGTCAATCTTTCTCGGGTTTTGAACAACCTACGAAGTATGACGGAAGCCAATAGCTTGGACGCAATCGGAAGTAGACTTATCCCCCGATAGTTGTTACAGGAACGACGTGAACCCTTTTTAAAGATAGGGACAACTATCGACTCATTCCATGACGTTGGTACACTCTCTAGTTCCCAGACTTTTGTAAACAATTTCGTCACTTCCTTAGTCAGAAAGTCACCACCATCTTTAAAAAGAGCCGGAGGTAAGTCATATAAGCCAGGTGATTTGTAACGCTTCAAGAGTTGGAGTTCCTTGCGGACTTCCGCCTCATTTGTTGGATCAGTCGTCACCGGCCATGGAGGGCAGGCCAGTCTGACCGATGTTGCTGGAGCAGCAGGCCAGTTGAACTGCCCTTCGAAAAATTCTGCCCATCGTCCAAGACGTCGATGGATGTTAGTGATTGGCATCCCATCATCTCCGCAGATTGCTACACTCACATCAGACTTCTTGCTGCCAGTGGCTCGGATGAGTTTGAAGAGCTTCCGGTAGTTACCAGGTCCAGCTGCTGCTTCCAGCTCATTAGCACGCTCCGACCACCAGGCTCTCCGGTCCTTACGCAAGCTTTGCCCAATTTCAATACGTAACAACCTTCGTTTGTGGTCAAACTCACGGTCACCCAGAGTAGACCGACGGGCTTCAATGAGTTGTAAGGAGCCTGAAGAAACCCAGTGCTTATAAGCGGGACGTTTCGCAAACCCACAACTGACTGTACCCGCCATTTTCATGGCGCCATGCAATTGCAACCAATGCTCATCTATACTTTTCGGTGGAATGGTAGCTAGCCTAGAAACTAGCTCGGTTTGCTACTTACTTGCAACAGAAGTTGCAACCAACTTGCTAACATCAATCCGTTTGTGGCGGTCACTTCGTTGGCCACTGAAAAGTAGGGCAAGATTGGCGCAGACAAAGGCATGATCAGAGTCCAGATAGGTACTCCAAAAGGAGCGGCAGTCTTGTACACAACCATGCCAGCGGTAGCTGATCGCGATGTGATCAATCTGAGTCCAGGCTTGAGATGCAGAGGGAGGACGCCAGGTGGCACAGCGGCGATGACTGTGCCGAAAGTTAGTGCTAGCCAGAAACAGGTTGTGGTCTGTGCACAGTTGCAGTAGACGGTCCCCGTTATCCGACCTGCGACCAACGAGTCCCCATCGGCCACCTAAACGACCCTCTTCCGTGCCTAGACGCCCGACCTGAGCATTCAAGTCTCCGGCTAGTACTACAATATCTGTCGAACGCACTTTCTGGAGAAGAACAGATAACTGGTGGTAAAACTCATCCTTGATTGCATCCGGGCTGCAATCTGTCGGGGCATAGGCGGAGATGACTAGAAGACATCGTTTCTCACGCCGATTTCTTCTCACTTTGATGGAACTTTCTAATCTAACAGCACATAACCGACTGTTAATGAGGATCCAATCGACTAGTGCTGCCTCAGCTCTAGCGCTTAGTGCGACACCAACGCCAGCAAGACCAGACGAAGATGCCACAGGGTCTCCGGATAAGCGCAAGTAAAACAAGCTTTTCGAAGCAACAGATGGAGAGCGAATTTGTAGTACTTCACCAGAGTCTTGAATACGGGTCTCGGATAGACAACGAACCTCAATATTAAGACTTTCCAAAGACATAGCCAGCCCTATCTGTTGTCCGACCTGCATAAATGCGCGAACGTTGAAGGCAGCCAGTTTGAATGGTGCACGTGGTTTCAAAAAAACTGCTTCAGTCCTCGTATTCGGTGGTAACATACAATTTTCAACCGGACAGTGACTCGAGAATGTTTAGATACAACCGACTTTCCACCATAGACGAGCTGCTGCATAAGTCGAAAAAAATAAGTATAGACAGAGTAGGAATAAAAGAGGGTGAATAATGACATAGTAAATAATAATAATAATAATAATAATAATAATAATAATAATAATAATAATAATAATAATAATAATAATAATGGCTCAGAATCTTTTGCAATAGTACAGATGCACGTATTCTTTGTTTTCCTTCAGAACCTGAGTCCTGAGGTCTCTATACCTAGTTTTCTCTTCTTATACCTAATCTTTACTACTGTTAGTGGTACTGTTACTACTTTTATCACCTCAGGGTTTCTTGATAATTTTATCTCACTGTACTAGAGTCGTATGACAACTTGAACTGATAAATATGTACGTCAAGTTCTACGTTACAAATAACATGACTGACCCGAAACAATGTCTCAAATCTTAAATGGATAGGGACCAAGAAACAATATTTAAGCGAATTAGTAAATATATTTTTTATCTGGTTGTTTTAAGTGAATATGTTAGTATTTAACAATGAATGACTAATTAATTAAACTATAAATCACTCTAAAGTTTGTGGATTACCATTTTCGGCATATTATTTGTACATTGGGGTAAGATATGTAGTATCATATAAAATCTATCAATATTGAAGATAGTGAATGAAAGAAAATACTGTTACCAACCTTATTAGTTCATTGAAATTAACGGTTTTATCAAATAATTTATATGAATGGTTTATTTTTGCTTTTGTTTATGTTGGGATTTTCGCTTCAGTCAACCACAACAGAAGCTGTCACAAATATTTGTTAGTCCAAGTTGCCGTAACTACATAAACGTGGAGAGACGAAACTAACAAGGGGAACAACAAAACAACCGGGGTTATAGTAGTATCATTGATGGTGAGAAATCATAAACATTGGAGAATACGGTTCGAGAACATGATCTGAATGTAACTGATAAAAAGTACGAAATAAGATTGAAACTCAGGACTTAAGAGATGATAAAAATTGAATGCTTATGTGTTGATCCATATGTAACCATTCAAAACCATTTAATGAGACTGAAATGAGTGAAAATTTGTTTTAACTTACAATTTGTTTGGGGCGACCCGGTTCCAGTTTGGGAAGAATTGAACACTAGAAGGCATGTGTTATTTCTTATGAAAAGTTTTGTAATTATCATTGAAGCAATAGATCCTAAATCTGAGTCTCTTGGTTAACATAAACGCTAGGAGTCAAGTAAATGCGACTAACCAGTCCTAAATCAGAAGAAAACACCTACTTAATTCCACTGCCAGTCAGAATGTATGGTTTATAGTTTAGTAGCTCTCAAAAGAATGTATGATTGACTGAAATGTTAGTCAATTTCTTTCAGGAAGCATTTTACATGGTTAATACTATAAAAAGTAACCATATATAAGACAAAAATAAATTATTTTTCATTGTTACTGCCATTATTAAAAATATAGATTACAAGTGGATCTAAACTGTTTTCTTCCCACTCTTCTTTTTCTTTTTTAAAATACCTAAGTGATGCTGGTTCAAAGATCCCAGAAAGTTGTATTTTCGGTCAATTATTAAATATTGTTTCAGTTTTGGGTAAATGACAAATAACATAGTTCACATTGTTTAATATTCTGTTAATGTAATGTACTTCAATATGTATATTTAAAGATTTAATATGTAATCATAATTAACAGGTTGTAATTCAACCTACGTGTCATCTTTATCATTTATCTGTATGAGAGATTATTGTGTCTTTAGACTTGAAAGTATTCATTATCCTCACCAAATCATATATAACGTATATATATAAACGTATATAATTAACTGTATCATCTAGTCATTGGATAGTAACCATATAAGATATTAATTGTTGGTAGAAAAATCTATGGATCAAAAAATTCAATGTAATTAATAATGAGTCAAGTGTCGATGTATCAATAGACTAGCACTGTTTTATCTTCGACACTTGAGGTTAAACAAAATAAAATTTACATTCCTCATATTTATTGGGATTCTTTAAAATGATATCTATCTAACAATCAATACCTCAATGTTTCTTACTCTATATGTTTTGTTTATTTTCTCCCATTTGTTTATTTGTTTCATGTTATTAAATTATAAGCAATGATGCAGTTTGTAATCTATTCAACATTATTCATCATCGAATACTTCATTTCGACTAGTGACATCATAAAAAAATTGTCAAATAATTATTAGCAAAAGCAGTATTTGTAGTCACTATCACATGTTTGATTGTTAGCTAACAACAATCTTTGTTACTTTAGTGAAAAATACTTTTATAATGTTTTGAAAATTTATAATTCATCTGGATATACTTTGGTACTGTAATAGTGCTTTCATTATTAACACACATAGACTGCAACATTTCCTGATATTAACAGTGGTAGTAATAGTAAAATTAAGAAAGTTTTCAAATTATCAACAAGTTTAATAAGTATAACTAATTAGAATTGTTGGATTCTTAACTGAATGTATAACCTTTGCTTAATTTTTTTGACCTAATCTATTGATATGTTGTAAATGATTAGGTGAAACTTGTTTAGTTTTATTTTTACCCCTTCTGTGTAGATATTTGTTGAATATATATGCTATACATTCTTACTGTATCAGCTACTCTGATGGATAGTGCAGAATTAAGTTAGAAATATGTGGATAAGTTTATGTTTAGTTTTCTATTACCATCGCTATAATTATTTTCACTTACCACTACAGAACTTGCTAAATTCCTCCCATTGTTCTGATGTGAAATGTGGCCAGTTGAATCGTTGAACACATTTGTCAGCTCTTACATTGGTTTATAAATGTAAGCAACTATTCGGATAGGTTATTTTTTGGTCACCATATGAAAAATTGCAGGATACCTTGAGGTAACATTGTATACGTGCTATACAATATTTGTAACTATTTTATTGATCTTGTATTTGTTATTTGTTTTAATAACCTTATTTAGGAATACATGTTGCCTTTCTCTCTCCCACAATTTTTCATAATCATGTATTATTTGTCATTTTTTCATTACTGCTGTCATCTGTTCGTTATAATAATAAAGCAGGTTTATGCTTCTACTCATGGCATAAACATTTGCTAGATTATAGCCAGAAATTTAATCAACAATGTTATCGTCAAATTAGATTGGCTAGAGTTGCTTTATGTTTTGGTCTTATATGTGCAGTTGGTATGAGTATAGTAGCCAACTTTCAAGTAAGCCAATATTATAAATTATTATATATTTCTTATAATTTTCATATTTTAAAAACACCACTGTATACTTGTATCAAAATATTTCCCTGAGTATTGTCAATTTATGTGTAATAATGAACATTGTAATGAGTTTATGTTACAATTACTTGTTTGATGTTGTATATGTAAGTAAATTAGTTTTCGAAGTTTCTAACTTTGATTATCGAACAATTGAAAACTAGGAATCACTAAACAGCTGTTTTGTCCTACCATTAGCCCACATTCATTACTTCACCAAAAAAGAAAAATGTGCTTATATGCTTATACATGTAAAATAAGTAAATTAATTATTCAGAATTAAATGAAATATTTTTCAGAAAACAAGAATCTATACAACTGTGAATTAGTAATTTGTTCGAGCACACAATTTTTCAGTTAGATCAGCTTTTGCTGCCTGTTCTTCACATGGTAAATGTTCTAGATAAAGTATTGCATCCATGAATCCTAATGTATCTGCTTCTCATTTTGTCCAGAAGTATACATGAATAAAGATGTAAATGGAGTGAGTGATTAGTATTTGATAAAGTAACACATCCAAGACTTAAAATGTCTATTTACAAACCTCCACAATGGCATTAATGATTCATCAAATACCTTACAAATGCCTTTAGCACTCTTCACAATACAGCGAAACCGTTTCTCAAAAGTCCAAAAAATAATGGGAGGCAGTAAAGCATGATATATAAAGTACAAGAATTTACAAATCGTAAGAGTAAATATCGGTTAATGCCAAAAACATGTAACCTCTTCACATAAGACTGACAGGATTTTCTTCGATAATAATATAACATAAGTACATCAAGGGGGATCAGAGGAAAAATGTACCCCAAGGTAAATGAACTTTGATATATTTTAACTGCAGAATCTCCAATCATTAAAATCAATGTTATTCCAGCAGAATGTTTAAGTAATTTCCATTTCTCAGGCTGAAGTTAACAGATTTACATTTAGAAGGAATAAGTGTAAGACTATTAAAAATGGACCGTTGTTCAATACGCGCTAAGAACTCATTCATTTCAAGGCGATTTTAATAGGAAGAAACTTGTATATACACAGGTAGATCATCCGCATACTTAAAAAGTGATTTTTGTTGAAGATGGAAGATCATGAAACATAAAGGAGAAAAGAAAAAACAGAAGAGCAGCTCTTTGTGGAACACCAAGTTGAGTTAATAAAGAGGAATAAGCACGGTCAATCGGTTATCTAGCTGTCAGTGCTAACGCTAGCAAACTTTCTAAATGATACTGATTTTTGGAAGTGTCGAATACAGAAGTATAGTCTAGAAATGCTCATCGAACATATTTCTCATCCTTCCAAACTGAACATTATTATGCAGAACAACAGCAGCACCTAGGGTATCTCTTCAGCACTTGTAAGCAAAATGACGTCACGGATCATTTTCCTCTGACTTAAATTAGTTTCTAAATACTGAAACATTTTCCACAAGATAATGGTTTTTATGGATACATCAAAATCGGATATTGATTTTTGGCTTATCAGACCATTTAGCCTTCAAATTTCAATAGAATTTTTTCCTTACACAGCCCTTCTTTTTCCCTCCTAAATCTTCTTATTTGCGGGGATGTAAGTCTTTAAATCTTACAAAAATCGTTTCACTAAGACAATAAAAATTCAAGGCAGAATTTAAGGTAAAAAGTGGCAAAATCAACGGTGTCATTTGTAAATAAATCCGTTTGCCGTTTTGGACATGTTTTTCATGTCTTGGATATTTGTCTCTGATTAGCTTCTATATCTAACTTTTATTTGTATAATGTAAAAGTTTACTTTTTCTCAGCTTGGCATATGCTTTCTTCTAATTCTTTCCCTTGGTTTATTTATTGAGGTTAAGTGAAATAATATAGGATTTTACACTATATTCTGCTTTGTAAATGGGAAATTTTCATGAAAAGTCGGTAGTACGAACAGGTTACATATGTTTAATTACTATCACTTTTCTAGTATTGTTGATATGTTGCCGGACAACTGAGCGAACAGTTATTAATTCGGAAGTAAATTATCAATTGAAAACTAGTTACTATCTGATGAAACGAGAAATCTAATATTCTTAGCTCTAGCTGTTATGACACAACTTCGTCTCCTCTCATATGATCCTATCTAACTTTTTATAAAAACAAGCTAAATCACGACTGAAGAATTTATTAGATTAATCAAAGATAGTATATAAATATACCGTTTGATATTTGTAAAAGTGTTACAATTTATTCTTCGGAGTGAGAGGATAGAATATTTGTTACACCTTCAACATGCCGTTGTCTTTTGAGTAACAGTATGTATTTGTCGACCACAGAAGTGTTGCGTTGTTAATATAGACTGGATGGAATGTCACTAGTAGTAGGATTCAGGATGCACGTTTTGTTCCATTTAGGACTCGTTGACTGGATGTACCCACATCCCAGAGTTGATGTTCACTTCAAGACTCAAACCCGGCACCATTGGCCTCCAACAGCGTCGCGTTATTCACTTAGCCACTGGGTCCAGAAAGACGTTTACTTGTGCAGCGAATATGAGACTTAATTCAGTTCAAAATCGTTTGAATTATCTTGTTGATATTTTCTACTGAAATTTGACTGAAAAAATAGAATTATCATGTTGAGATTTGGTTATCTGAATTTCTTGAGTATTAAACTTATTGACACTGTATAACTAAAGTACAGTTGTCTGTGACACAATTTCGACGGTTTTATTTATTTATTATAGTCTCCAGGGGGACACTGGACACTTTACCGTAAAAGTTTTCGGATTTTTCAGTGTCCATTTCAATCTTTTCTCTTCGTATTTTTTTACTGTTGGTGCGTCGAACTGTATTTTCAAAGTACAAGAAAAATTATACTCAATAATATGCTGTTTTCAGGTATCTTTTAAAATTTACAATTGTTTAACTTGCCGATGAGTGCTAACTTGCACGAAAACTATGTCTAGGGCTTCCTGTCGATTACCTCTGACTTCCTACCAAATAAGAAATACGATTCTTGTAATTTACTCATCTATCGATTCATTTGTGCCTAAATTTTATTTTAGAATCAAATGTCGTAACGAGAAAAAAAGCACACTGTAAAAGCGATTTCCTTTATGAATCGATTATCACTGTGTACATATGTCATACATATTTTAATGTATACATTACATGAGAAAACTATATCACTGAGTAATTATAGTGATGTAATTACAAGGACTGTTATTCTAAGGTTGCGTAATGACTATGTGGTGTTTGTAGCTGAAAACGGCGTATAACATCAACAGAGAAGTAATACACGATTGTTTGAATGGTGTAGGTTCATTAAAATAGACGCTTCATTTATGTCATCATGAAAAGTGAAGGTATTAGGTAACTAATACGTGAAATGATTGAGTGAGGAATTTAAGGCAGTATGAAAAACAGTTTAGGGAAGTAGGGAATTTTCTGACTAGAAAACTATGGGGAATATAATAATATTAATAACCACAACAATAATTGATTAAGACCCAAGACAAATAGAAAGGTAAGATATGTGTACATACATAATTCAAGCCTTATGTTATGAATAGTCAAAAATCTTACCGTTTTAAAGAATCACAATATAAATTTTGGCAATTGAAAACGAAGTGTATAAATAATCTTAAAATCACTGAATGTATTTGAAAAGTGATCTAAGTTAAATACTCAAAGATTGTCTACGCAACGGCTTTTTTTCTTACGCCTGCGAAACTGTCTCACAACAGACCTGACTACGCTCCACTGGTCACGGATTTTCATTAGAACTCTAGGAAATATCTCTTGAAACCAGTCACTAGTGAGCACATGATGATTATTATCAGAAGAGGATTTTGTAGTGATTTTAGTAATTTAATAATTGAATTCATGAGTCAATTGAAGCTAGACCACCATGGAAAACCTGGAAGCACTTGAGAGCCATTTCGTCCCAGTATGGGACACCTCAGCAGTGCGCATCCGATACTTCATCAATTGGTTTGCCATCCTTACCTAGCACCCGTGTCCCAAAGACTGCATCACTTACTCGGTAGTCCCACGATATACGATCAGTGTTTCGAAGACAGCTATGATCGAATACTAGTAACCTACGAATATCCTCTACTGTTACTGGCCATGTTTCACTGCCATAAAGTGGAACGACACGAACTGCTGCGCAGTAAATACGTCCTTTCGTTGTTAGATGGATATCTCGCCTACGTCGACTTTGGTAAACTTTTATCAAAGTGTATGCGGATAACGAAAAAATTCCATATGTAGGTAGTATTACTTACGCTTTTCTAAATTGTCTGTATTCCGTGATACAGTGATTTTTTAGTTATTATTTATTCTGATGATCCGAGCACTTTGTTTGATGACATGTTATTTTTTATGGTTCTTTTGTTTTAGCAACGAAATATGTGCTCGTTGTTTTTATGACCTATGTTTTAAAGGTTATAAAGGTTGATTCATGTGAAATACATGTATCGTTATTATCGTGAGATTAATGGAACAATGTCCTCTTAAACTCATTTTACGGCATTATGCATCCAGTACTTTATCCGATTTCCTTCTAGGAAACAGCTGTTTGGTCTATGCATCTCCTCGGTGCAGGTCTACTTTTTGGTGGTGGTTCGGCGTATACACTTGCTGTTACATATATTACATATAAATATCTTGGACATAGTCGAATTCGGATTACTCGTTTGGTACTGACATTCATTTCTGTTTTTTCATTTTTATTACGTAAGTCAGTACTAAATAATGTTAGTATAGATTTGAGAAAGGTGAACCTCAATTTCTGTTAATGTCATAAAGGATTATTTAAAATTTAACATTTGTATAAATATACATTTCTCAATCTGTGAAAAGAGCGCGCATAGTTTGGCCTACATTAATTCAAGTCCATCTACATACTCTCATGTATAACCAAACCCCAAAGGAAACTGAGTTACTGGGACATATATATAACAGTGAATGTAACACAAGTCAGTGATTTATAAAAAGACCTACTGTTTATATATATATATATATATATATATATATCTGGCAGACTGGGTTCGTAATCATAAACCCTCGTTTTTATAAAATGTAATATATTTAATGAAAATAAAGAGAATTCAGCGAAGAAAATTTTTTTTCGACGAGATCATTTACTTAAGCTTTACATTCGTACTTATATGGAAAATATATGTCTATAGAAGGATACAAAAGACTGTATTCGAAACTTATTATCAAACGAGGTTACGCAATAATCAAGGGTAAGAAAAGAAGTTAAGGAAAAAATAATTTACGGGTCAGATAGTTGTCTAATTGAGAGATACGAAGAAAAGGACAAACATAAAGGTGATAATAACAAAAACTGAATAATAATCAAGAGAACTAGTTTAGGATAATAATAATAATAATAATAATAATAATAATAATAATAATAATAATAATAATAATAATAACTGAATGCAGTTTAAAATTGCAAGACACTAACTGAAGAAATCAATAATAATCAGATAGAAATGAAGAAAAAAGAAAAAAAGGTCGAAACACCACTAAAGAGGATTGAGGTCAAGGAAGGGTGAGAGGCTGAACGAACCGTCTTTGCACTCAAAGTTCGTGGATTGCCAATATCTCAGCGGCGCATAAAATATTGGTTCGACTTCCCTTCTATCCAATTCCTTTGACTGTGTAGATTACTTTAAAAGAAGACTCCTTTGGAGTGATGTGTCCATAGTTGATTAAATGCGCCTGTATTGAACTAGTAGTTGTTTTACATTCTCCTTTTGAAAGCCATGCCGGATAGTGTTCTGAGATGCGTTTGGAACGTGATCGGTTTGTGCGGCCAATGTAACCTGCCCCATATGAGCAAGTAAATTTTTATATGCACATTGATGTGGCCCAAAGGCAGAGGTTTATCCTTAACACATCCGTGAATGTTAGGCCGGCTTGAGAAAAAGATTCGGAGTTGAACTGCTTAGAACAATTTATTCAACGATTTTGAAATCCGTTTATTTAAGATTTCAGCAGCCGTATTCCTTTAAATTCCATATTCATAAAAGGGGTTCTTTTGTACTGACGGTGCTTTTTCAGGATGATGTCTAGGTGTTAAGTGGCTATCGACGAATCTAGGTGATTAATCATTCCCAATGAGAAGTAGTTCCTCATCTGTTGTATCAGTAGAACAAATTCACCTGATCCTTGAGGATAAAGAGTGAATGACTTTCCTCTTTCTAATCACTGGGGCCTAGCTATGGAAATCCGTGTACTGCTCATTCCAAGTCAATTTTCTATATATAGATCTCTGTAAAAAAACCATCCAGCCTTCTTTTCAATCGGACATCAAGAAAAGGAAATTTATCGTCTACCTCTGCTTCCAAAGTGAATTGAATTGAGGGATGACAATTATTGAAACTATTCAAAATTTCATTGAGGTCCATGCCTTCTTCACAAATAATGAAAGTATCATCCATATATCTCTTACATAAATTAAATCTCTCAATTATTGGTGGAAGTACCGTATTTTCATGATTGGCCATGAAGCGATCAGCCAAGAGGGGATCCAATCGAGAATCCATTGCAACTACATCTGTTTGTCTACAAAAATCATCATTAAATCTAAATTGCATGTTGAGAGTAAATCGTAGAAGTAGCTCTTTTGGATAATGTTTTGGAATATTATTCTCAATATAGTCACACAAAAACATATAGTTTCTGTGAGAGGAACATTTGTAAAAAGTGAAGCGACACCCAATAAGATCATTTTCCTACCATTTAAAATGATATTTTCAATTGAGCCTACAAAGTAAAGGAATAAAGAGAGTTGTATCAATTGAAGTTAATGTAAATTATTAGCCTCGTCTTTAAGCCGTAAACGCTTTTTCTTATATGTGAGTCTTTCCCTCCTAATTTGCACACAATATTACTAAATGTCAGTCAGTCAGTCAGCTACAACGTAGGACCGCGCACATATATGCATCGGTCCAAGTTGCCATACCGCATTAGCACAGCAAGATGAACAGATTCATAGGAGTAGTTAAGTCAGTGGTGGTAATGTATAAAAGAAAGATTGCATATAGGGATATAGTACAGGAAGAAAGATTTCGTACGTAGAAAGAAAGATATGAAGCGATTCCAATCTCTTAGTTTAAGGGAAGAGAGAGAGTATATACACCGACGGCATTGTGATCGATTCTGATCCATGTTACACAGAGTCTCCAACCATTGGTTACGATAGTCACGCGGACCCCTACCAAGTAGTCTGCATCTACCAACATGGCTCAAGACTAGAAGTTAGTGACTTCAAGCACTGATGTCAAGACTTGGTTTAGCCGCCCCTAACCTAGTTCCAGCCGCCTCCAACACTAGTCAGAGTTGCGAGACGTGGTAACCAGTGTTCAGTTAACTCAACCAACCATCTCAGTTGATGAAGATTCACAACCTCATCAACTGATTTACCATCATTCCGTAATACCCTGTGTCTAACCTAACTATTACTTACCCGGTGATCCCAGCAGACGCCAGCAATATTTTTAAGTTATCTGGTCAAATACTAGTAGCTTACGAGTATCTTCAACTCTTAATCGCCATGTTTCGCAGCCGTAAATTAAAAGAACGAACTGCCGTGTAGTATACTCGTTCTTTTATTAATAGACGGATATCTCGCCCTCGCCATAGGTGACGTAAGTTGGTGTAGGGGGTCGCCATGTTAGACGATGTCTCTCCTTATGCTCAGAATCAGTGTTTGTCAGAAATAAACGATCGTTCGAGCACAGTTGCAGCAGATGTTTACCACTTTCTGTTCACTAAGCCAGAATACTAAAATACTCACCTAAATGTCTTTCTGTTTGGTTTAAGCTATCTGCCTGGGCACTAAATTCACCTGCTACGAGTACTATGTATGAGAGTTTAGCTTTTTGAAAAGTTTCAGAAAGCTTTCTGTAAAAGTCATCTTTTACTTTATCTGGGCTGCAGTCAGTGGGAGCGTAGGCAGAAACGACGTTAAGGCAACGACGTGTGTCCCTATCCTTCCGAGTTCTTACGGAGCCGTTTAGCCGAACAGCACATAAATGACTGTTAACGGGGATTCACCCTAACAGTGCTTGTCCCGCCCTCATGCTTGGCGCTATCCCTACTCCTGCCAGTCCACGAGAGCTGACCATCGCGTCACTAGATGCACGGAGGGTATATCTCGTTGACTCTCCGTTTTGGCGAGGTGAGGTCAAGTGAATGACCACACTGGGATCCTGTATGTGTGTTTCAGAGACACAGCATACATCAATGGTACGGAATTCTAGGGTTCTAGCTAAGGAAGCCTGTTGACCGATTTGACATAAGGTTCGTACGTTGAAGGCTCCAGTGTGTAGTTTGTAGCGAGGTTTCAGTAGACCTGGGACAGTGTTTTGAGCACTAGAATCGTTGGCTATGGTGACACTTGAGGAGGATTCAAAACAAGAAGTTTACAATTGAAAGTCGATGTAGAAGGAGTAATAGGAAGTGAAGACGGAGGTTGATTATGAATACAGTGGTCTTGAGTGCTGTTATAGGTATGAGGGCTGTTATCACTTCCCGGTTGCCCACACCCTGAAAAGGTCCTTCTGGAGGTACCTGAAAAGGAAATCGGAATAAAGGTGGTCTTGGTAACCTGAGAGCGTGACCGCAGTGCCCAAGGGACAACTGCTTGAGGTCGGCCACACAAGACCTTTTTATGGGTAATTTTTGCGTTAGCTCCGTACTTGTTGAGACCTTACCGCCGGAGACGGATATCCGTGGGATAAGGCGAGGTGTGCATTTTAGGGTCGACCTTTCCTAACCCCACCCCTCCTTGTGAGAAGGCAGTATCGCTGTCATGCTGGTTGTCTGAAGGAAACACTCTACTGCTGTCACACCTCTGCACAGTCAACAGTACGACTTCGCCTTCGGACCTTAGCTTTGTTGCTTTTAGTCTTACCGCTCTTCAATCGACCTGTCTGACATGGTAGGACCTTGAGGAACAGTTGTTCCAGCCAGTATAGGTCGGTTGCTTCATCACGATAGGCAGTCCCGACCACCACGTCAAGGTAGCAACAACGGTCGGGATTACTAAATGGTGTGTGTGTTGTTATTTCGGATATCGTGAAGTTGTGTAGATCTTCATTGCAAATTGCCTTAGTGAAAGCGCATATCCAGCGAAGGTAATCGAGATTTATGTTAAAGCCAACGTACGGATTAAATACGATGCAGTAGATAAGAAAAGCTGCTCCTTATATATAAGACTAATTCTTCCAGATTTTCCTTTGAATAAAGTTTACTTACGCGACCAATAAGGTTTCATACAATCCCCTTGTTGTAACTTATTGGACAGAAACTGTTGTAATTTATATAAACTCCACTCCATGTATTCTTGCGTTAGATGTGTCTTTATAGTATGCCGCAACTGCTCTAAGTAGTGCAATAGTCTGGCATCTAATTGACACCGAGCATACCACTGAAATTGTACAAGCCTTCAAAATTATTAGCGGACACAAAAAACAATGTCTTTCCCGTTTGTCGAAGCAGTAGCAACGAAAAAGCTGAAACCTGATTTATATATACAGAAATTATTTTTATTGTGATCATTATTTTGTTACGTGGTCTTCTCCAAAGGAATTCTTATTTTATGTACAAAAATTCATTCCTTCATTCATAAGTTTTCGTCCAAATCCTGTTTAGTTATTGTGCAACACATCTTATCAATTTCCAATTCCAGTAATCTTATGTAGAGCCTTCACAACCTCTAAAATTATCACAATCTATATATACAGTTATTATTGGTGACCTTTGTCATTTTAATTCTTTTCGTTCATCTACATCAATTGTTTCACATAATATCCTGCTTCAATGTTACCTTTCAATATACATACGGTTGCAAGCGGCTGTTGAGAAACTACTAAATATAACGGATCAACATTAATCTGCCTCAATTGTTGTTCTGGCTTTATTCGAATTCACAAAGCAATCCATTGTATGAGACTATTGTTTTAAGCTTTTGAAGTTTCAACTGTTTAATCTGATTGATTCTGCAGTCTATCTCACAGTAATGTTGTACACTTATTTATTTAATTTTAATAACAAAACTAGAACCAACAACTGGATTAGTCGCACGTTTCATGTATGATGGTGATAATATTAGAAAATGGAAACCAACTGATCAAGTTAGTCCTTTTTCCGTTCAATAATTGGAAATGTGTTAAAATAATGAATTATTATGTCATTCTGTTATTTGTAATAAGCTCATGTAAAATCCATCAATTTGTGTTAACTTCTTCGTCGATGCTTTCAATCAATATTGTTTATCACTAACAAGATTTTTTTAAAGGACTAGAGTAACAGTCTATATATATATATATATATATATATATATATATATATATATATATATATATATATATATATATATATAAATTTCATGTGAAAATAGGCAGTGTATCGTTTTATTCAACATTCTTGATGTTACATATGAATTTAACCAAATCTGTATGGAGAAATAGTTAAACTTCGTTTTCGTAGACTAAAAATTCTGTAAAATTTTTTTGGCAGACTTATTTAGTCTTGATGTTAAGCTAACGATTAAAATTGTCACACTGTATATTCTTCTTAAATTTTTTAGTGAATAGATTTAGAAACAGTTTATCATATGGATTGTTTTCAAGATTGCAAACAGATCTTACTAATGAATTCCAACTAAATATCATAGAAACTTGGAACTAAGCACTCTACCAAATAGCCTGAATATTTTTGAGGTTTATAAAACTTTTGAATAATGGATTCTCGTAGATACTATCCTAAAATATATCAGTATATTAATTACTCTAATAGAATAAATCAGTCTGGTGATTTATATTTGTGCATAAACACATTCAAACTATAATTGAAGACATTTGATCAGGATAATCATTTATCTATTAGTCACATTTAGCGTACTACAACTACACTGACTGTACTAAGAAGTATATTTTCCAAAACTCTGTTTACCTTATAAAAGTGGCTAAATGTTTTTAGAATACATGAAGTGGACAGTAATCTTGAGGGAAGTTGTCATTCCTCGTGAGTATTTGTGTGGCAGTTAGGAAGAGTGTGTAAGATAACAAGACGTTACATGAAATAAATGCATTTACGACAGGCAAGAAAGTCTGTTAGACTTACTTTTTAACAGCCGCGTCACATTCACTGAAAATTGATAAAAACATTTTTCAGTGATTTAACTCAAATAGGTATTTGTGAATATTCTTCAGGTCTGAACTTAACCTCATAATATTTCAGCTCAGGAAGCCAAGTAATCTCACATGAGCTTATCAAAACATTGTAGCTCAAAGCTGAACACATAAACCTTTACTTGCCAAATGAATTACGTCAAATTAGGTTAGAAATTTCTTTTCAGCACTCTTAAGGCTTCTGATTTTTCATCTTTTGCTAATAGTTTTCATATTTTTGTGTACTATGTAGTGGACAGTTACTTGTGGAAATAGTTATAACCTTTGTTTTAAATCTACTCAACATTAGGTATGTATCGGAATTTCTAAAATTATGTGGTACCGTTTTAACTACTAATTGGTATTCTGTATATTAAGAATTTGCTCAAACTGAATTACATGGGCCAATCCTAGTCCATTATGCAGAACAATAAAAATTATCCGAATTAAAAATGCTTTAAAAAAAATAGGTAACTTTTTTATTGTGTGATGATTGCAAGTTATGCTGAAAAATAAAATTGTTCAGTGCTCTGAAATTTCAAATGACTTGTAGTGACCTCATATAGGAAATTATGGCTTACGATATGTGTTATGTCGTAATAGTGTGTATTATCACTTATTTGGGTGGTCAGTTTTTGATTGTGTCCACGTGTGTATTTTTCGTTTTCATAATAAAATTTATGGGACTACATTAAGTTCCTCACACAAATAAAAAGATGAAAATTTGAAGTAAAAGGAATGTAAAAGATCGTACAACATATAAATAAGTGAACAAGAAAAACATGCGTCAAGTTGTATGGTTCAATTGAAAATACATTTAAAAATAGGAGTGTCTTGGTAGTCTGTTTATTGTCAACACAAGATATTGATTCATTCACCGTCGTAATTCAGTTTTGTTGGACATTTTCAAAAGCCATCTTCAAAGAGTCAATAATCATTTTTACTTGAGTTGTTTTTTTTATATTTTTCAATAAAATCGATATCACTGCTGTCATTGATCGAATGGGTTTATTTTCTAAAACAACGGTATGTTCCATAATGTTTGAATCACTTTTGGTTAGTGTTTAAATATAAATTTGCTATTGTTGTCGTTAAACTTTCTCAAGGGAGGTTTTTACATTTAAGCCGACAAGTTAGTGGACACCTCCCTTCGTGGTTGTAAAGGGTGTGGGGTAAACTTTGACGCTTGATTGATATCGGTCATGTAGTAAATAGAAATAAGTCAGTTTGAGTAATTCATCGTATGCCTACTACCTTTTCTCATAAAATTTGATGTCATCTTTTTCATACAGCAGAAATTATACAGATTCGACCTAATAACTCAAGTGTTTGTATTCGCAAAAAATTTGTAACATTTGTATCTCTTCTTTGGCCAGATGAAACTTGGCAAACGATTTCACTTATTATCATTCCCTATACTCGGTTTGTTTACTTTTCTTCATCCCCTTTTTTTAAATATTGGCTTCACTGACTGTTTATTTGAATATTTATTACGCGATTCTAATACTTTTTAATAAATGTTATTTTCGTGTCTCATTTCTCAAGTCGGCTTGCTGCCATCATTCAATTATGCTTATAATGCTCATGATTTAGTGGCAATATTGCGTCAATCCGTGCAGAATTCATATGCCAATTGCAGTGCTAAACATCAATGAGAAGATTTAGATAACCAATATAAATTTATTTTTACTTATTATTTATTCATGTAATCTATTCCAATGTTATTACTGACTCATAAACTGCCGAATGTATAGCTTAAGTTAATGATTTCGTCGAAAAGAAAATTTTACTCGCTGAATTCTCTTTTTCTTATTCAATGACACCATGGTTTTTTTAATTATCTGCCGTAATTGATTTAATAGTTTCATATATGCATTTAAATATTATTGTATGTTAGATTTAAGACTGGTAAGGATCTAACTCAAAACAATATTACTTACTTACTTACTTACGCCTGTTACTCCCAATGGAGCATAGGCCGCCGACCAGCATCATTATTATTTGCCTATATATGTTTTTCGTAAATGATATATGCTTTCATACTTCAATAATAATTATCAATAGTTTCTACAGTATGTTACAAGTACATATGAATAACTTGACTTATTAGTTTGTCCTGGTTTGACCTTGTTGAAACTTTTAATCTACATGTTTATCAATGCTCGAAAAATATATATTCCGTGTCACTTATCAATCTTGTTAATTCAAATATCCATAGAAAATCATAGATTGAATATTATCATTCTTTTCGTGTTTTTAATAAACATAGTTATTCTGTTATACTATAGTAGAAAAAGTGTTCATTTGTATCTTTGGCCAAATGAAGTTGGTTGTATAATTCTCGATCTGTGTCGTTAGATCTCACACTTAAAGTATTCAATTAAATACAAAGAGAAACCGTTTAATTTTTCTTATCACATGCTTTGGTTAGTATAAATTAATCATAAAGCATTCTATGGAGCTTGAGTACATTTGTTTTGACACTGAGATGTCTATAGGTTTTCTTCAGAGTCATTATCGCATGGATTCATCATTTGCACTAGGGTCTACATTCATTATTCAGTCACTAAAATTAATATAAACTTCTAAGTTTCTGTAACTACGTTTTATTAGATGAAATAATACATTCACAAACCTAGTGTACGTATTCGGCTTTATCTTTAATAATAGAAAGTTTCATTTTAATGTATCCTTATTCGTAGATTACACTGAATTTTTTCTGTGCCAATTATTTTTGAGAGACTCACTATTACTTATCCTTTTTGATTCGAATCAGCCGGGCTTATTATCACTCTCTTACAACGAGTAAAATATACATACAGGGCTTTGCTTCATGTTTATTATATCGCATATTATTAACCAGACTTTTTTCATTCTGATTGCTAATCAGAAATTATACAATAGTCTGTCAGTAATTTGAAACTGAATCATTTTCGCAATACATCATTAGGATGAATGTGTCGCTTCCCTGCTTTATCATAGAAAGCCAACCACCATTAGCTTCACTGGTTTTCTATATTTATATCAAGGGATAACAAAAAAATTAGTGGTTTTTAAAACTTTCGTATAATCCTCACGTAGTATTTAGTTGGTAAATCATTTGAAACTCAAGATTATTTGAACAGTTATTTCGTTTCTGTCAAGTCTACTAAGCTGGAAGTCATAAGAACCGATGAAGATCACGCTTTCCTACACACTTACTAAAGTTATAAGTATTAACCATTAGATTCTGATTCGATAACTTAATGTGATTGTGTTCAACATTCGGAACTGAGAAGTATGTATTGAGTTTAATGATTTGTAGCTTCACATTGTCTAGAAACTTCATGGTAATTAGTCACGTTTATCTAGTGTAACAATTTAATGTCAGATTTTTCATTAATAGTATTGATAATGAGATTTAATTATAAGTACAAAATAATAATAATTTAGCTATAAATTACGAATATTTGATAATTGTTTATAAGATATGTAGTTTTACTATGTTATAATTGATTAATAAGGTTATTTCAGTTTAATCTTACTTTTATTTTTGGTAAAATAACATTTCAATGAACTTTGGTATCAATCTATTGAATTTGTGTTTTTTTAAATCCCTAATAGGGTTATTCGTTTCATGTAGTAAGTAGTATGTCGGAATGGATTACAGCTTTATCATTTATATGCTTTATTTTTACACTGGTATGGGAATTGAAAGATTACAAAGTACATGAAATAAAGGTACGTCATTTATTGTCCCTAATAACATTATTAATGGGTTTTTTTACTGAAACAGTAATCAAAAAGTTAAATTCTTTTAAAATCTTTAGAAGTAGTATCTGTACGTAAAGAAATAATATATATGGAGCAAACCACGTGAATAATTTTTGTCAATGATATTTCTGTCTTACTTTGTCTTAAACTGCTCTCAAACACAGAAATATTTTTATGGGATCGAAATATGTGACCAACTCAACTATGCTAGACGAATACACTGACGAAATATAATGTCCCGTACATGATACATTTATACCCATAAAACTACATCTGTAGAGTTTTGTATGATTTTATTGCGAGTATAGTTTGTACCAATCACATATTTTACATATGCAAACACTATACATTACAATTAGTAGGAATTTATTCCATAGCGTCAATTAGATTTATGGAACCTCATCAAATTTCACTGAAGAAGGTGGAATAAATTCCACTTAAATAACACGTGAGTCTAGACCTGAGGTTCGTTGTTTAGGGGAAGGAAAAGTGTTTGAAAATGTTACATTCAAACTGTGACATGTCTCAACAGCAATCAGTCAGACAGGATGTAAGCGGAATAAGTTGTAAAAGTCCGCTCCTTTTCAAAATATCGTATAAATGATGTTTTTTTAAAAAAAGTCTCGCGATCAAACCACATATCTTGCACAATCTGACATCTCCAAAAAGTCTAGATGAAAATGAACAAATTTTATGATTACAGGAATTTTTGCCAGTTTATAGACATGATCAGTTTGATGTGGGCAGCAATGTTAAACATAAAAGAGCTATATATGATCTTCGATTGTTTGAATTGCTATGGCTAAAAACTGTTTAGGTAGTACATTTTCTACAAAGATTACATTAGCACAGGGTATCAGTTTTCTACCATTAGTTCTTTGAAAATGTTTATCCTGTTAATGTGTGAAGTGTGTTCAAGGTCATTTTCAGTGCCACAACGGAATGATTATAATAATCTTATAAGTAGAGATAATAAAATAAACGAAGCAAGAAGCAACAGCAATAATTTCCATTACCGATGTATTGGTATGCATGTGCCATTTTGTTTAGTGATCCACTGTTCGAGCTAGATATTATTTAAATTATTTTAGTATACCAGGGACGCTGTAAGATTCTCCGATACAACACAGCATACACCAATGCAGTCACAATTGATAGAGATTTGGAAGTTGTAAAAACTTTTACATATTTGAACAGCATCGTTGATGAACATGGTGGGTCTGATGCAGATGTGTAAGCGCAGATCGGTGAAGCAAGAGCAGCATATTTACAGCTGAGGAACATCTGGAACTCAAAGCACCTGTCAACCAACACCAAGGTCAGGATTTTCAATACAAATGTCAAGACAGTTCTACTGTATGGGGCAGAAACCTGGAGAACTACGAAACCCATCATCCAGAAGATGCAGGTGTTTATTAGCAGTTGTCTACGCAAAATACTTCAGATCCGTTGGCCGGACACTATTAGCAACGACCAACTGTGGGAAAGAACAAACCAGATCTCAGTGGAGGAAGAAATTAAGAAGAAGAGCTGGAAGTGGATAGGACACACATTGAGGAAAGCACCCAACTGCGTCACAAGACAAGCCCTCACATGGAATCCTGAAGGCCAAAGGAGGAGAGGAAGACCAAAGAACACATTACGCCGAGAAATGGAAATAGACATGAGAAAAATGAACAAGAATTGGATGGAACTAGAAAAGAAGGCCCAGGACAGAGTGGGTTGGAGAATGCTGGTCGGCGGCCTATGCTCCATTGGGAGTAACAGGCGTAAGTGAGTAAGTACCAGGGACGCTCTAGGTGTAAAATATTTTCAGTTAGGGAGGTCTAACGAGTGGAATCGTGTCGATAGCGATCAAACTGTTAATGTTCCTATAAGTTCACTAGTAGGATGGGATATACTTAAAGGTCTAAGAAAATTCAGACCATAGATACAGCAAACAATTGATAGTGATTTTATTTCATAGACAGATTGCGGCAAATTATTCGACTCACAAAAATTGAATGATAAACAGCTACGCAGTTTATTACTATTTCAGCATATTGAATTGCACTAGTGGATGTGTAAAAAATTTATTCAGTATTTTAAAGAAAAAGGTTAGTTAAAGTCTCCGTTTCCATGAAGTGTCGATTACAAGCTTATTGCACAAGAATTTATAGTTTAAAGTACAATCATTTAAGATAATTTCCTAATTGAGTCGATACAAAATATATTAGACATCCATTTTAACACAAGCGAACTTTTTTCATCTTGGAACTCAGTTGACTTTCTCAAAAAAGTTTTAACCAACCAGTGTCCTGTTGTTTGAAATAACTACAAGTGACAGAGAAAAAAAAGACTTAATGTATTAAAAAACGATATGAAAGCTTTTTTCAAAAACAAAAGAAGACCGTCGAAATGAAACTTTGATTAGATTATTTGAATTCGATTATCAAACCGTTATTCTATTATAAAGTTGGATAAATTATAATTAACTAGATTGTATCAGTTAGCTATTATAATAGTGCTTGTATGGTATATAATTTACGTGTCAGTCGTATTGAAATTTGTTTTTTATTCATCTTTATAGATTGTTCATCGATGGAGTATAATAAGTGATGATAATTATGGCAATAATAATGATGACAATATGCTTTCCTAGAATTTTTTTTCTAGATTTAAGCTACTTTTAAATAGGAGATGAATTTCAAATCACATCTCTTATCTATCCACTGTTCTTTTTCATATTTAAGATTTCTTTATTGAAGTAGAAGATCATTTATAACCAACTTTTTATGAAATTATATTTGCATAGTTAACTAATCCTTTTTTTTAATTAAAAGAAATCGTGTATACTTGTCATTTTGTTTTAACTGAAATAATTTATTACAGATTTGGTTCATGAAATCATCATATAAACTGTAACTATCTCATTATAATTTCATGATGGAAGTAAAAGAAAAATTAATTTTATCAAGTTTGTTGTTGTTTTGTAGTGATATTATGATGTAAAAAAGTTAAAATAGAGAAAGATCGTTCCAAGAATAGATGACACGTTTAGTAGACTAGTCTATGACACTGTATACCTGTGAATACATTTAAAAGTGAAATGATGCTATTATTTGTGAATTTGAAGACAATAAAAAAAATTCTTCATGTATTTCGGTCAACTGCTATTACAAAGTTAACGTCTAATAATTACCAAATAAATACTCATGTAGGATAGTGTATTTCAATGTTATACCTAATATCACTGTTACACATGTTAATCATGATGTAGTAATTATGTACATATTCAAATACACGGCTTTAATCCAAACGTTGTGTTTGGATTTCTCATTACTCAAAATGTAAAAAACACTGTATTGTAGGTTTATTGATGTATGGGAGATGAATTCACGAAACTTGAAAATCAAATCACCAGTGTGATTTAATAAGTAAATGTCACAACAAATCTTTTAGCCATTTGGTCTCAGGTTCTCAAAAAGGTCAAAAATTTCGGTTCGGATTGCTGGATAGTATTACTGGTCTATACAAACTATGAGCTTCAAGACTGATTACTAAAACATGTAATTGACCTAGAAGTTAAGTTATCGCTAAATCGGAAGAGGAATTTCCAAAGAGCAATTAGATTCTGACGTGCCGGTGGTTGTTTTATTTTCTTTTTTGCCTAACAAAATACAGAAGGCTTAATATTTTTCCGAATTAAATTCGTTCTTTCGATGAAAGTAGAAAAAATTACAAAATCAACATTAAGAAATAAATTACATCGTGTATCAAGTTAAATAAAAATTGTAATCCTAATGAAATGGATTAAAGCATTTTGTTCTTATTCACTGAGTTATAGTTACATAAGAACAGAAAGTGATGGCTTAAGCGAGGAGAGGTGTTTGTTCATTGTTTTCATGCGCAATAACTATACGCCTTATCTAATATAAAAAAGGAAATTAATTAGACAGTTAGGAATCATCATCCACAATATTAATAAGTTTGTATCAAAATCAATAACTTAAAATCATAATCCAAACATATTTTGCCAGTTAACTGATGTAGTGTAAGCATTGGATAGAATGATCGTAATAATGAATTATAAACAAATTACTGGCAAAAAAACTGTAAATTAATAATACTGGGTCTATGTTTACATCTAACTATAATGATAGTAATTGTACAACCAGCACACTGGTCTAGGCATTGTAAACCAAAAGTATTATAAACAATGGGTGTTAAATGCTGTAGAATCTTTGTAGTATGTTAAACCCACATAGGTTATTTTGGCCTCTTGACAGGTCAGTCTGTTTCTTCTCCCTGTCAGTAATTCGCTTGTTTATCCTGACTTTTATGATCGCATGTGTGTTGACTATAAATATCGGTTTACGAGTTGGTTCACTCACCTTATCCACTGCGCGTCATTTCGTTCCTCTGATCGTCTATCTGGACCAACGATTGTATGGAATATACGTATTCGAAATCTATTCTCGTGTTTTACTTATTTTAATCCCGTTATTCACTAACGCGAATTAATTCGATAATAATAAACGAGAATTGGCGGCATGTATATTTCGATAACAACCATCCATTCGATCCAATCGGAGTCAGATATAGGGGCCACTAAATCTTAACTAAGATAAATGACTTATTTTTCTTATTCAATTAGTTGGGGTTGCTTAAAAGAAAGCAAATGGACTGAAAACTCAATAATAATAATAATAGTGGCCATTCCTAGGATATGATGAACAGGTTCAGTTTTTATTTCTCCAGAACTTTAAATTTTTGTTACTTATAAGTCTCAGTATTGTTAAGAATACCTAGGTTTTCTAGGTATACTGAACAACCATGGTGGACTTTCAGTTTATCAAGTGACCACTACACTATTTTAGAACAAAATGAATTTTATTTGTCGACTTTGAAGAAGTGACTAGGATCAATTCACGAAACGTCAGAAATACAATTTTCTAATCATTGCGAAATCACACCTGTATCATTTAAATTTATTGAAAATGTAATTGAGCATTATATCAGGAGAATACGTTAGTCGTAATGCCAACCTTGCAAAATTTGATAATGGGTGTCGCGATGATAGTTCTGCATATTTGTTCTTATTAGACATTGCCCCATAAAGTAAATGTTACGATTATAGATAATAATGACAATAGTAAAAGCTTACTTTAACCGACTCCAACTCATAGTTCCTCAGTTCAAATATCATAGAAGCGAAAAACAGTAAGAATGTGAAGGACATTAACCATTCGCAAAAGCTACTCAATGCATGATATTTGAAACCCTACATAAAATAAAATAAAATATAGTATTGATGAGATATAAGTACATTTCTACGTTATTGAACTATCCCAGATACTGACTTTTCACCTATTATGTAATCTTTCTCATTGTTATCATTGACTCATAAACTACCTTGATTGGTTTAATAATTTCATATATGCATATAAATATTACTGTATATAATAGCAAAGCCTGATGAAGATCTAAACAATATTGTTCTAAAAAGTGAAACATTAGAATTACTGCAAAAGCTATATAACGTTGAGTAATGTATTAATATAGTCCCGTTTATATCATACCACGGTTGTTCAGAAAAGGATAGCAGGATAGGATCCATATTTCTTAAATTAAAGAATGTTTATGCAATATGTATACTTAGTCTTCAGTTATGCATTTGCATCTTGTTGTGTATTCTGCGACCCAAGTTGATCATAGACTGTCTTCTTTAGCTTCTATGATCTGCAAAGTACTGTGCGTAAGCCATGCTTATTGACTCCCTAAATCTCTTCAGCTGTTAAGTGTAGCAACTCCCAAGCGAAGTTCCGCTAAATGCCACTTATAGGCAATCTTGTAATTTATCTATTATTAGTTTTATTCTATTATATTTTTGGTACTATATAGAATTTTCAACGCGAAGTATTTAAGTGAGTTTCTGTTTTTTATTTCTTGATCGATATTGACAATAAATATTGAACGATCCCCAGTTAGATACTAGCATTTCAGAAGTCGACATCTAAATAATATTTATTCTTTTCAATGCATATGGCCAGTCATCACGATGTCTCCGATTATACGTTTTTCTAACTTGTACAGCGAAAGGTCGTAAACTTTTCACAAACGCACCTGAGTAGGTTATACAATTAATTGATATGATGATCAGTTAAGACAAACAACGAAACAGATGCTTGTTGAAATATTAAGTGGCACGAACAGGTGGTCGAGATATTGAAGCAGGTCGCTTACACTTACATAATCATACCTTAATTAAATGTTAACAAACAATATAAAGATGCCATTTTTTGGTTGTGGGCATGCTTATTTGACATGTATTAATGAAATTTACAACGAAGACATCTTTGATCAGTACGATAAAAATAAGCGGAAAACAGTAGGTAAGGGTCCTTCAAAAACATACAGTAATCTATACAACGTAGACATCTTTGATCAGTACGATAAAACTAGGCGGAAAACAGTAGGTAAGGGTACTTCAAAAACACAATAATCTATACAAAAATATACTTTGTAATTTAATAATTTAGTAATTTGGATCTCAGTTATACAGTCGACAAATTCTGTTGTAATCGACATGAATAAATTGTCTAGATTAATGTAATCATAAAGATGTGCGGTATAACTGAATATAGGATCAATAAATTAAGCCATACAGAATAAATTACTGTATTATATAACAACAATTAGTTTTTTTATTTACCATTGATTACAATCAATTACTTAAGTGCTATTTTTCATCAGATGATCAGAAGTTATGAAAAAAAATCAAATAAAACTTGATAATAATTACATCTATAATATACCTGTAAGAAAAGGAGATAATTGGATAATAAACGGAATAATGTGTAATTTCGTGTACAATAAGTGTAAACAATTATTACATCTGATCAACTGAATAAACAATAACATTATGAAACCATTCATAATAACTGAAGAAACTATTTGCAGTCATAAATGAAAATACACATAGTAGGAAAATAAAGAGGGAGATCTAAATACACGTAAAGTAGGCAAGAATGATTTGATTCAATAGTGTTACAATGAAGGAGATCCCAACAAATAAACATTATTGTTGAGTGAAATAAAACAAATTAGTTAAAAATTGATCAACAATTATACGACAATAATTTAATAACAGCAGCTTAATATCATTATTCATAAAGAAAAAACTCCCAAAATGATACCAATAATAATAATAAGGTAAATAAAACATTTATATATATGATGGATTTTAAGTGTTTTAGCAACGAAATAAACCTACCACTTCAGATGGATCCCATTTTCTAGGGAATGGACCGTGCATTCCCCCAGATAAGTGCCCAAAAATGAACACTAGAATTATTGAAAAAAACAATAACACATAAATTAATATGGCTCGTTACAAAAAAAAGACAAAGTCACTGAAAGTCGATCCTAGGAATTTCTCTTTTTTTTTGAGTTAACAGTTGTAATGAATAATCTATACAATGCAAACAGTAACACTTCTTTGATACTGTACGAATAAATAAAATAAGTGACTATCAGAACTGTCAAATACTGAGAACTCTTGTCCTAAGAATTATACACCTTCATTTTGTCAGACTATGTCACAAATATTTATACAAGCAAACTGATAATGGTTTATACTCGGAAATGCAAGAAAAAATT